TTTTTCAGTTCAACATTTCTCGGGATAGGGTGTTTGACACAAGAAGGAGGAGAGCCTGGCGTTAGCCGGGCGATCCGACTGGTTATTCATACCTGATTTATATCGAGGATTATCTCATTCCAAATCGCTATTCGATAACGAATTCAAAAATGGGCAAAAGTGCCGGTGTGAAAGTTTACAGTAATACAGAAGGAAAATATAATCAATTATCAATATTTCTCATAGAATACGTCATGAGGTTCTCCTCTCAACGCATAAAAGGGCAAGAGTTGCAAAGAGAAAAGTTGGGGAGTGGAACTTAATATGAGCAAAATAAAATTTCAAAAAAGCTAAAAATTACTCACGATCTTTTTTCGTTGGATTCTCGCAGGTGATCAAGCAGGACATCTCATCTTGAAAGAGATTCTCACTCTCTCCTGTACAACCATCGTACCAAAATGGAATACAGCGCTGAAAGGAAGGTGATTAATCGCCAGTTTGGGTGTAATCCATGTACCATTCAAGGTCTCGTTATTGGTGGTTATATAAATGTGTTTGTAAAACATCCAAAGCATTGAACTGGCCAAAAAAAGAGTGCCTTTTCACCCAAAACTTTGGAAAACCGGAACTCTAGTGAAAATGAACTTACTTTTACATTCCTGTCGAAGTAATACTGCTGCCGCCACCGACCGCCATTGCACTGATCCCTGTAGTGGTTGTCAAAGTCTTGTAGACAAGCTCCTGAACCAGGTGAAATCAGCTTTTTGTGATGCTACTGTATACCTCGTCTCAAGAGTTTCGTCTAAAAACAACTTAATTCTGGCTTAAATCAGTGGATATATTATGATCCACGGATCTGCTTCCTGGTGACTCTCCTTCAGAGTAAGATCTCGAGCGCAAGATCGGTTGAATTGTACGACTCCAGTTGGCAAATGGAAGTATATATAGAGTGGATCAGAAGCCATCTCAGTGATCGTTCGGAAGACTGAGTGAACTAGATAATAAGGTGCGGAGTCTATTTCATCAAGCTGAATCGACCTGCTTACTCAAATGCGCGTATGAGTGGTAAGCTTATTATTGGAATACCACGTCTAAGGTATCATAGCCAAATCTAACATATAAATCACTGGGAACACCTTTAGAGTCATTCCGGAGTTGGCTCTCGTTTACCGCCTTGACTCTTATCACTTGAACAGCCACTTTCGCTGCCAAAGGGATGAACTGAAGGGGAACTTGGCTCTTTGGACGAGAAAATCTAAAAAGCTTTCTAGTAAAAACCCTTTCTGCAGCATGGCTTTCTATGAGGTGGTTGTCAACAGGAAAATGACTGCTCCGAAGAAGCTCGTTAAGAATGGGTGTCGTGTAGTTTTAGAGCTTACAGTTGGAAAAGGAAGCGAGTGGCATGCGAAGCACTTTGGAACATCGAGTAAAGAAGAAGGCAAAGGAAATCCGGTCAAGCTCCCAACCCTTCAGAGCTGCTGCCTTGCGTGCTTTCTCCTTTTTTGCATTTTTTCTTCCTTGCATTGATTACCATTTCTAACTCATTGATTTATCTCATGTCTGATTGTTTAGCTTGTTTTTACGCTGTTTTTGACAAATGTGTTTTGCAATCCCTATCTCATTGAAGGGCCTCGGGGTTGACGAAAACGAAATGGTCCGAAGAAGCAGAGAAAAACGAACCAAATGATGTTTTTTCAGAGGATTCTCATCTACATGCACTATTCCCCTTTTACATTCTCCTTAAACTTACAAGATGAAATCTCCACTTCAGGTACGCAGTCAGAGTAATGGAACGCAACTGGTAGAGGGCAATGCTCAAAATTTTTCGTTACACAGAGGAAACCCAGAGATTCAAAATTCATCAACGAACCAAGACCATGGACGCGGTCAGACTGCTTTCATAGTCCGCGATTTGACTCGGGACCAACCGAGCGATCGACCGGGGGCGGTGCTTGCTCCTTGTTTGATACTAAATCTTGGTCGATACAGCAGGGCGAGTCGCTCGCTCGCGGGCCAAATGGACTATGAAAGCTCACCCATGCCAGGCAATAGGGGAGCAGAACAAAAACTTCAAAAGACTCTTAAACCAAAAGAGACTCAAACTTAAACGACTGTTGGCACATTCAAGAACTGTTCGATGCAGGTTCGAAGCAGGTTGTCCACCTACAGAGTTCCAGTGCAACGTCACTTGAGACCAGACCATGTTTTCCAACAAAACCCTTTATTTAATTGTTGGCCTACGCAGTGCATCCAGCCAATGGAATTCAAGCAATTAGTCGTGCATTGCTTTCGTTCACGTTCACACTCTCACATCTTCCCAACAAATAATTCTCTAGCCGATCTCTCTATCTGGGTTGATTGCAATTTTCCGTATCAAAAACGATGCGAATCAGTTATTGCTATGGAGGGTTACTTGTCTTGCTCATGGAGTATTTTCTTCCCGACCGAGTTCAATAAGACAGAAATACCCTTGGGATAATGCGCGCTAAGGATTACTCTCGTACTCGCATAAATCTAAAGCCATCTCGTCTAGCCCCTATTTTTCATTTCTATCAATTCACTCGGCACAAACGACCTATTTATGACGCTCCCGCTAAATTGAGCTATTCGTCAATTGAAGTATGACGGGATTGGAAGGCTTTTCAAACCAATTTTGAGGAAACTTTGAATCGTGCCAGGATTCAAGTTCTTGAATCCTAGCACGGTGTTTGAATCCGTTCGAAAATCGACGGAAGAAGTAAAAACCGTGCAAAGAATAAGCATGGGAGCAGAAAGCATGGACCAGAGTCCAAAAATCAGCAATACTTTTTGTTTGTATTTGCACATCCTGTAAACAACACCCTCACCCGGAGTTCAGGCAAAGTATAGCGAGCCTTGAAAACAAACAAGTGAAAAATGACTAAAATTTAGTAGAGCTCCAGATCTGGCCGCAATAAATAGGTACTGAGCGAGCGGTCGCGCAGCGGCTACATTGTGATCTGTCCGAAAGCAGGTGAGAAGACTTATGTATGAAAGAGGTCATCACGAGAGCCTGATTTTTGTCGGTAATTATGTGAAAGGAACCTGAATCCCAGCACGTAATAACAGCAGTATCGTAGATTACAAGCAGCCACTTTGTTCCTACCGTATACTGTAAAATATCTAGACTACGGTATATCGAAATACTCACTTGATTTGTACATAGGTTGTGATTCGCACAACCACTGACATGTAAGATGATCTTCGAACATATTTCGAGAATCCGATCGGCAACCATCGTACCAAAACTGTCGACATGTCAACGAAGCATGGTCAAAATAGTAACGTTGTTGCCAATTACCTTAAGAAGAAAATTGGTTTAGTGTTATGAGCATAAACTGGTCTTGACATCTATTAAGCCCGACTTCTGGATTTTGGATTTCTAACTTTCATATACCCAATGTCAGTTCCTAAATAGCCCTTGAATGTGCCTTCAATTGCTAAACACACCGCACTCAAAAGTAAGCCCCGCCCATTGTAGGAGGTTCTGCCCACGAGTCACACGGTATTTCCGGCCTTTTCCAATCTTCATCTATCTTCAAGTCGTGAACTGTCGAAGCTAGTGTTGACTGGAGTGAGCTTCACCCGCAAAGCTTTTCACTTGTAACACATAATATGTAAATAGGCATATTTAGAACATCAGTAAGGATCTGCTGTAGGATCCGAAGGGCGTTGTGAAAAATAAAGCGAGATTTCAGGAAAGATTCAGACGAGAAGAAAGCTTTTTAAGGCAAGTTTCAAGTTTTCCGGAAAGATAATTTTTTTTAATATCTTCTTGAGCGAGGCATTCCCTACTGCCTCCATAAATGTTCAAATCGATCATTATCATCCTAACACCACTTACCGACTGTTGAACCCAAGAGGTTTGGCAGCCATGGAAAAACTTTACCTTTGAACTTTGGGCCAACCTCCACCGTTTCTATATCCAAAAATGAAAAAATTCTATTATATCGTGCCCATATTTGTTAATATTTTCTAAAGCTGTAATTCCTAGAAAAAACAGCACAGATGGATAAAGGATGAGGAACAGGACGGCGTTGATCAGCCTATTGAAAGCACAATACGTTCGACTTTTACCAGTATTTGTTGGTATAGTCGCTCATTTGCCGTATACAATTTGCCAATATAAAGAATGTTTTAGTCATAGATGTTGGATTCAGTGCCCATATTTCAGTAATGCTGGTATCAGTTCACACTGTCCAAAGGGATGAAAGACCTGATTGCTTTGACCGAATTCTGATTAGTCATATCTCAGCTAGCTTGCACCAAAAACCTTTAGATATTTGCTGATCTTTTTTTATTCATTATAAGGTAATGTGCCACGAACAGGAATTCTTCAAGAAATCGGAACTTTCTTTGACCGAAAAGCCCAACGCTGAGCGGGAGCGTCGTAATACGTTTCTTTGCACTCCACGCGACCGCTACACTCGTCTCGTAAGCATATAATCAAATAATGGATTCCCCGGAGATTTCAAGAATATCCGTATTTCGCCTTGGAGTGGGATAGAAATAGGGGCCCATAGAAGAGAATTTTTTTGCGAAAAAAGAGGGCCGAGGGACACTTTATCCTGGATCAGAAAGATTTCTGGGAACAAATAATTGCTTCACATAGTCAGTCTGTGAGCAAAAGAGGAATTGTTTGTTCCGAACATAATCAACAGACTCCACTTTTTTGCGAAAAAAAAGGCGGCATGGCTTATCCTAGACCACTATATCGTCGTTATACATCGGTGCACTTGCGCGTTGCCCAGTCAAAATCCGTGGATCCAGTGAGAGACATTATGGAATGCGCCTAGTCACTGGGCACCTTCAGAATCGTAGCAGCGTTTGAATGCGTATCCAGTCTATTCAGCTATATACTCAGTCAGCGGGTGCGCCTTCTCAACGAGTCTTGTACCAGTCAAACAACCAAGAACGAATAGAAGGCTGGTTGGCTTGAGTGATTGCCACTTAATTCCCTAGAGAAATGTTTGGTTATGAAGCCATTTAACGCCACTCCACCTGCGCCCACTTCACTCTATCGAAGCGGTGATTATAGAACAAGGTTCACAAGCAAACCAGGAAACGATTCGGGCAGCATTGCCGCAATTTCAGCCATTCAGGAATAACCGGATATGGGTCAAAAAGCCGCTATTGTTTGGAGAACAGCTGGAGGCAGCTTGATTCTCTAAGTTTTCGGTCTCGGACCACAGGCAATAAAATAGACCGTTTACTTCGGAGGAATGGGAAGAAAATCGCCTGTTTTATTGCCTTTCTTTCCTTCGTCATTCTTTGGTCTTATTTCATCAAAGGGAACCTTTTTCAAGCGACAAACAATGCCATTGAAAGTAGTTTGAGGGTAATCAGGCCAACAGCAGAGGAAATTCAAAGCGAGAGCACTCCTAGGTGCGCCTATTTCTTTCGAAGATTGCGGTCATGTAGTAAAAGCATTCAGCCCTTGTCAGAAGGGTGTCAGGGAATTTGGTTCATATAATATAATATAATATACAGAAACAAGCCGGTGTACAGTTCAGTTTGATTCGCTTTAAAGATCCAGGGTTAACCAAAAGTTTTCAAAAGACAGGGTTTACGATAATTGCAAAAATATATCACCTAAATGAAATAATGAAAGTTGCAATGAAAAATAAAAGTTGCGAAGAAAGAGGGAGAAACGGCGGATTTTTAAAAAATATGTGGCTTTAAAAAGGGAGTACGAACGGAGGATGTGCAAGACTATGCGTCTGTAACCGTCTGGATTAACCTACATAGACGTACTATTTCTTGGCGCCCTTCCGCTTGATTGTCAATGGTCAGCCTCAACAAGGCTTCCAAATACGGCCAGTTTTCGGCATGAAAGTCAACCTTGCAACTCCGTTTTAGACGGAAGATTGCTTGAAAGTAGCCTCCGCAATGATATTAGGCCTACGTATGGATGTGAACGATACAGACCTAAGCAATCCCATATGGCTCCGTCACAGAACGGCTATCGTGTGAAATGACATTATTCTTTCGGAAGTTTGCAATATTAATGTTATTGTGGCGGTACTTATTTACCCGATGTCCTGCATGGCATTCATGCTCCTAAAGGGGAGAAGTACTTCGAAACCATAAACTGAAGGGAAATCTTTCCTGCTCGAAAATCTTAAGTGGGAAAAGCGGATAAATTGAACTGCTATAGTTGTGGGAACAAGCTAACACACTACCGGTAGTAGCACCTCCAGAAGAGACGCTAAGTAAATACAACGAAGAATGTTTCGGATTATAAACGACGATCGCAAAGCATAAACACAGTAAAAAGAACCAGAGGATATAAAATGGTAAACTACCAAGCATAGAAGCAAGTAGCTGAGGAAAACACATCGCTTGAGTAGGATTTCAGCAGAGCTGAACCGAGATTTCGGCAGGTACGGATGCAGTTCTACGGGCGAATAGCCTTGAATCATTTATAGGTACGTGTGTACTGTGGTTGGAAAGGTACAGCGAAAAAAACGAGGACGGGTGCAGCACGAACTGGAGCTGGACGCTTTATTTGGGTGAATTTTGAAAACTCTTAGCCTCGGTTAGAAGGTGGCGATATCATAGATTACTAGAGGATGACGACCGAAGGCGGCTGAGCTAGCTGATCATTCCCTTTTTCCTTTTTGAAGGAAACCTTCAATTTCAACAATTCGGAGAAGGAGCCTTTCGAAGTGAGAAGTACGTAAGAACGTTCCCTAGGTATCCTATCATGATCGCAACCCATCATAAGGTTTGCTGACTGATGGGAGTCTCGATAGGGTGACGTTAACATGCATTTGGCATACATTTAGAATCACATTTTGAATGAACATTTGACAGGCAATGCTCAAATGGTAGGCTAAGTCACCGCCTCTACATTCCCGAATGAGACTGGTGGGATTCCATAGGGGCTCTAATGAAATGGGAGGCTATATCGACTCAGGCACTTATCGGGGTTTGATCCCAAACCATGCTGGTGCAAGAGAGATATCTGGCACTACACCACACACGCCAATTTCTCGAAGTAACCCTTATATTTCTTTTGTAATAGTAGCTTCTTTCTTTTCTAGTTATCATTCTTTCCT